AGCCCGTGCTCATTTCCCCCTCAGCTAATGAAGCACACGTTCCTGTCGCAAACCTATGAAGTAATAAGGATTCCTCAATCACCATTCTACTTAAAGTTTTAGTATCTTTTATCCAATTGATTCTTAGTTTGCACGTAGTAGGCGCTAAATTTGTGGAATGTAATTGACATCAAGGGACAGATTACTTCCTTCACAATGGATTTCATTCATGAAAACAGAGTTTTCTTTTGAGTTTGTAACGACATGCATGAACACTGTTGCATGAGCTGCCTGTCTCCCCACTGCTAGGAAATGGTCATAATGTTTAATTGCACAAAGTGCCTTTTATTTTTTTCTCATCAAGAAGTTAAGAGATCTGCTGGCTTAGCAGGTGCCTCAATTGTGCATAATTAGTTGCTAGGAATTGTTTAGCATAGGCTGATTAGTCACAGCCAAAGGAAATTAAATTTTTTTTTTCTTCAACAAAGCCCTGAACATAGCTAGAGATTTTTGAGACCACAGTCATATCCAGTTCATCTGGGAAGCCTAGACCCTGGCAGTGGGAGAGGCAGGAGATGGGGAGACAAGAACCAGGCTGATTACACATGGGAGCTATTTGATGCCTGGCAACCATTTGAGGACATGATACGAGGGGACCTGAGTCAATCCCACAAGATGTGATTCGGCTCCTACATGGGTCTTGGTTGTGATGCAGAATGAAGCGTTGTTCCTTAGGTGCTTGCTGCTTGCTTTCCAAGTTTATAACACCAGCTTCACTTGGAATATGTAATCAAAACAAATGGTCTCTGTTTGCCTCTCTGGCATTTGGCATGTGAGGAGACTGGCCAAAATGGAGGCAGTGATGGGGACAGATTGTTCCCCCCTCATTGTTCCACTATTTTTTAAATATATGCTTGACTAAGCCCTTTCTGTGCCTTTGTTACAGTGTTGATTTCTTCTCTTAATGGAGGGGATTTTCCCTCGCCTCATGGGATAACACTGGCAGTGGTTCCTATGCTCTTTCTTCTTAAGACCAATATGCAGCCCCTTTGACAGAGGGTGGCCATCATGTGTGACAGTGATTATCTGCTAAGATGTCATTAGAAAAGACTGATGGTTCTGAAACCCTGAGATGCGCGTAGTGATTACTTTCAACATTGATTTCAGTGAGCACTAGCTCACCAGCTGAATGTCTGCTTTGCTCCTATAGTGAATTTCCATAAGGATCCCTTGTTAATGTGATCCACCATTAAACTCATGGTGGGGAGTCTGGTATGAAAGTCAGGATTCTTTTGCTTGAAGGCATTATTTTAAAGATTGTTCAATAAATCCTTTTGTAATCTAAATGAAAATTAAAGGAAATATTTTATTATCCATTTTATAAAGAGTCACAGATTTTTAACCTGCTATAAGTCAATACTCAATAGCTGTTGGATGATGTCATGACTTTAAATGGCATAGACTATAACCCCTAGGGAAAAAAATCAGAGGTAGGAGAGAGGATAGCTCATAACAAATGTTTGACTTTCTTCAGGTTGCTTATTTACAACAAATGTTTTAGTTTGAAAAGTTGAATACAATTCATTCATCTATCAGCAGACATTTACTGAATGCATACGATGTGTCAGGCACTGTTCTAGAAATATTATCTACTTACTGATTATTGTTATTTGGTCAGTTTTTTATTCATATGTAATTGGACGGAACTTGAAGGTCTAGTTAGTGTCTTACTGATAAAGAAGTGTTTACACAGATCTTATAATTCAGTGAAACTTTGAGGACCGTAGTAAGGAACAGTGAACTGTATTAGCATTTTATTTTATTACTTTGCATAAAAAATGAAATGACAAGAATAAACTGTTTCCGTAGTACAATTTAAGTGTAGTTCATTTTAGGCAAACAAATATTTGGAGGACAGGGGAATGGGGTTTGTTTATATATATGATATATATACACACAAGATGTATATATATTATATATATCATATGTATATATATATATGGCTATGATTACTCATTTTCATAATCGTTTTTATAGGAATTACCTCACATTATGCAAGGTCTCTCCTGGAACGTTGTGTCCATTCACTTGCCTGTGTGATACAGAAATATGTACCTGTTAACCTAGCAAATCTAATTGTCCATCCAAGAGGAAATGCATAAAGAGGAAAGAGCTTGGGAAGAAAAATAAAAGAAATGCACTTTAGACATACTCTAGATATTTCCTATAAATTTACCTCTCTGGCCTCAAGTTCTAACTATAAAATGAAAGAGTGATCTAGATCATCCCTTATGATCATGAAATTCTAGTGGTACATTTACAAATATCCATTAAAGGCCATATGAAAAACTCATAGCTCTCCATGACTTTATGTTCAAGGATTGAAAATATACCCCAGACATTCCTGGCCTTTAGTATCCTATTATGGGACCATCTGCCATTGAATCATTCAGTATCTTCCCTCCGTTTCTATTTCCAGACAAAGTTTGAATCAAGAGTTGATCTTGAGTAAATCGTATTATGAGGGTTGATGTGTTCACTCTGTGATGGGTTGCTTTTTATAAAAGGCTCATAATGCTTCTTAGAAATTTGAAATAAAGAGATACTCTGAGGAAATTTCCTTTAAAAACAAATGTTAAATGGTTCCATGCTGCTCTGTTGGTATGCTCTCCTTTTACTTTCATGATAAATGTTGCCAAGATTCTGCCTCACCCCCATTAGGAGTTATTGCTTTCATCTTGATAGATTTTGGCAAGCTATTTTTAGATAATATAAAACTTATTTCAGTCTGGTTCTTTGATAGATACAACTTTTGGCTTCTCAGTAATGGCCTACTTTTACCTCTCTCGGTAAGGACACTGAATGATGATAATGCGGACAGGAGCTGGGGAATGGAAGCTGGCCAGGTGGCCATCTATAATTCAGTTTCAACCTTTTCAGGATGTGCATAACTAGACCAGCTCAGCTCTGTGTTCAAATACAGTATACTTGTAAATGAGGAAAACAATTTTATCAGGGTTGACTACTTCTGTAATACAAAATGGGTAATTTTTTAAATGGCTTCTTAAAATAGAGTATCAAGTGCAAAGAAAAAAAAACCCACAAAAAAAAATATGCATCTCCTGGGCAAATCTTTTATTTGCCTTTTAAGAAATCTAACACTGGATTCAAAACAAGATTTTAATAGGCTGGACTCTTGACAAGTTGAAAAACTGAAAAAACCTTCAGGCTTCCAAGATGCTATCCCCAAAACTGGTTGTTATGATTTGTATCCCCTGGCTCAGTGCTACTTGTAAATATACTGTTTCAAAGTTTTGGGGTAAGAAAAGAAAATATATTTTAATTAGCTTTATAAGGATCCAGATTTTAACATATAGTAAATGTGTTTTAGTAACTGCTATATAAATGTAAAGCACATTGCCTGGTTATTCAGACAACACTGTGGAAAGCACTCAAATGCTCAGTTAAGAATGGTGGGGCAAATGGAGACTTTTATGGCTTGTGATCATACTCAAAATTGCATTTGCAAGTAAACAGTCAAGGTCTAGGTTACTGCTTCATAAGCAAAAGTGATGCTGTTCATTGTATTGGTATCTGAGAGTTGGTAGTTTATGGTTGGGAAAATATAAAGAGTTGTGTGACAAATGGAATACAAACATAAAACAGTGTGACTTCCATTTTTTAAAGTTAATTGCAGTTTAGAGCAGTGTTAATCTTTCCTTTTTTGTCATTGCTTATAAAGATCATCTCAGTTTTATGAAGAAATCATGAATCATTTCAACCAGAAGTACGTCCTAGAGAGAAATCGAGTTCCTTAATTTTAAAACACAAACCACTTAGATGGGAGAATTAATATTTTCACATGACAAAACCTTGTTGCTGAATTAAATCCTTGTTAACATTTAGTAGTTTGCCAAGCACAATATGATTCTTTTTAAACATTTAATGATTTCCTATTGTAACAACAACAAACCAATCTTATAATGTGTCCAGAAGTAATACTGGAGTCATCTGGCCTGAGTAGGTATGCTGGATAATTATTTTACGTTATGTTTACTGAGACCATATACATCCTAATCTTTACTCAGACATCTCTTTTACTTTAAATAAATGTCTGCATGCAAACTAGAAAGAATTCTCCTTTTCTACTTTAACCCTAATACCTGCCATCCTAGATCATTACTCCTATGTTCCAAGCCAGATTAAATTCTCTTCTAGATTTAACAAAACTATTTTACTCAAATTTGATGAACCCATCACCTCTAACATCTTGTCACCAATTGAGCTTCTTGACTAACTCACACAGATATACTAAGCCTGTCTTTTCCGTTGTTTTTTATGGTTCTTCGATTATTTTCATCTCTTTCTAAAAGGCAAATCAGCTCATTGCAGTTTACCTCTTCTTTTGCCTAACCATCATTCCTTTCCTGTTCTTAACCTCCCTGCTCTGGTCTTACCCTGAATGTCCCTGCTCTCTTCATTTGGCAATGGTTGCCAGTTCACTCTTTAGAGAACCCACTAATTCTGTGTGTCTTTATTTCCCTGCAATACTAATGATCTGCCATCTGCTTATCTGAAATATAACATTTCCTTTCATTTCCTTTGTTCTTCTACCTGATTATTCTTAGTGCCCACTGAGCCATTTTATTCCTTCTTTGCCTTTCTGTTACTGATATTCACTGATACTTATTTATCAATGAATGTAGCCCGCATTTGCATTTTATATTTGCATACTTCTTACCGTTTTATGCCTTCATGTGCACTATGGCTTGATCCTGACGATCCTACGAGGTTGATAAGAAAATACATCGCTCTTTTATAGGAGAGGAAACTGATGTTCAGAGCTTTTTCAAAAACTTGTTCCACAGCTTAGCTGAGGTTAGGACTCAGGACCACCAACTCTTTCTGCTGTACCATATCATATCACCTCTCTCTGGCAGAAGGACTGCAATCCACTAAAAATCTTCACTGCATTAGAAACTGGATGGAAATTAACCAAACCCTTCATTGTACCTTTGCAGATGAGAGTCCCTACACTAAATCCGCCAGCCAGACAAAGCCGCCTGATGGAGCATTGGCTGTGAGGAGACAGAGCATCCCAGGTTAGACCAGATTGTTGGATTTTTCAGCTGTTTTACATTTTAACCCTGTTATTTGGTGATCCTAAATAATCCCACCTTGGTAATAAAAATTATGCTATTCCATAGGGCACAGACTGCATTCTATACAACTTGTTCAAACAATATTCATGAAAGCTAGACTTTGGAAAAGCTTGCAGACTTGTGAGAATTCATCTTGGTTGCAAATTCTTTATGAAGTGACTTGAATTGAGATCAGTCCTCACTCATTTACTTGCTCTCATCTCTGTTTTCAGGGGATGATTTTCACAGAAGCATCTATTCTTTACTGAGACACAACCGACAGAACAAAGGGGTTCAAAATTGCTATAGCAAATCATGCAGGTGCTGAATAAAAAGTATTCCTTCTTCTTATCTCTTTGTACCTGAATTTACTTCCATTGGACAACTCTTGTAAAATTCTGAAACTTTGTTTCCTTAGGAAACTGTGATTAGGATTCTTTTAATACTTTAAGTGATACCTGTTTTTTTTCAACAAACCATTCTCGAGAGACATCTTTAAATGTCTTTACCACAAAACTTGAATATTTTAAAGCTTTGAATTTCAGAATGACATAACTTCTGAAATTAAAGGAGGAATGAAATTCAAAGTGTTATTTAAACTTTATCTGAACTAGGTAATTCATGGAAAACCTTTAATACAGGCAACTGTACTTAAAAGGGTTAAAAGCAATAATGCATTTAGACATTTATCAAAAAAATTTCTTTCTATATTTTATACAAGTAAATTGAGTGCAGCTAAACCTTAAAAGATTTTAGAGTATAGTAGATTTAGCAATTCAGGAAAAACGAAAAAGTATTCTCAACATTAGATTGAATGGTTTGGCAAATATGTCAGTGAAAAGGGAAATTTTCCATTTGAATAAAGAGCAAGATGAGTTCAGTTCCAAGCAGTCCTGTTTATGATTATTATTTATTTGTATAAGAACTATATGTGGTTATTTTTATTCTTATTCTGAAGGCTTGCATTCATCATGAAAGTACATGGCTTAGAAAGAGCATATTGTGAATGTTATACATCCTTGCTTGTGTGCTTTGAAGATTCTAAAGTAATTTGAATTTAATAATTAGAGGGCATAACCCAGTCCTAAGATTTCTTTGACTCCATCCTATGAAACACCAGTCTTAGTGCTGGTCACCTTTAGAAAAAACATTGCCATTAGCTACGGGCTGTGTTCTCTGCTTTCTCCTTCTCTGCATTAAGAAAGCACCCAAAATTTGAAGTTCAAGAGTCTAGTTATCCATCAATTCCTTCTTGTCTTCTCTATATTAGCTGGTATCCAGTACTCTTCTGTAGGAAAGAGTGACGAGAACTCCCCATGTCCTTACCACTTTATATGTGATGAAACAAAAGTACTGTCATTCATCATGTTTTCCTTTCATGGGTTCTCTAATGTTATATACTAAATTGTAACACATGTTTTGAGGGCCCAACTTTTCCTTAAAGTCACTGAGTAGTTTTTAAAATTACATGTTAGGTACACAGAGGTTGTTCTTCATAATCCTTCGTTCATGATACTTAAGTGATTCTTCATTATAGAATTTTCCCTTTTGTTCCTCCTTATAATAATTTAAGTCACTGGAATCATGAGTCCTTCTTTGTAGGCTTCATGGGTTATTTGCCTAGAGTTTGAATATGGACATGGAGCTTTTTGTTCATTTCCTGTAAGGTAGTGGCCAAAAGGGTCAAAGTTCTTCAAAGCCTTCTTCGTTATTTAGAACACTCCAAGAAAAAAGACCTCATCAGCCAGAGAACTGAGAAAACAAAATGGCTAATATCTAATTATTACAATATTTACTATTATCTTAAGGAGAAAATTAAGGAACTTCTTGGATGCTTCCTAACTGACTTCTGACACTTGGAGTTCCAAACCCATACTGTCACCTTAAAAGTACCTATTCTGGTTCTGACAAAAGGAAGGGAGTCTTCCCTGATCATTGGCTAAGAAGTCACTTAAAACAAAGAACAATCTTAACCAGTGGGTGACTGGTCACCCACCGTGCCTACCTTTACCCCTACTAAGTCCAAAAGAGAAAAATGGAAAGAAGAAAAGGGCGGGGAAAAGCACACTCTTTGCTATTTGCTGGCACTTCAGCTGAAAAATCCCAGTGTTCTCCTGATGAACTTAGTTGGACCACATGGAGCTATAAGATTAAAATGCAAGTTTACAGCCTTTGAGCCTTTCTCCAGTGTTCACCTTCCAATCTTACTTTACTCAAAGATATTATTACTATGCTGGTAGCAAGGAAAGGTGTGTCTAGAGAAAAGGACACCAAGGAAGTGAAAGAAGGCATAAAGGAGACCTGGGCTCATCTACCAGCCCCAGAATCTTCCCAGTGCAAAGGTACTGATCATGAGGGTCAGAGGCAGCCCCAGGCCTTTGTGCTGCCCCAGTGACTAGGGAGTAAGCAAACACAAGGATGCTGAAACCTTAAAGGAGCTATGTCTTTTCCTCCACTTCCAATGATCCAAGGATAGTGATTTAATTTGACCGTTGAGCACTTTTTCTGATGGAAGCGGGCAGGGAAGTGTAGGGTACTGGAAGGATTTTAAGCTTCTCTATCCAAACTTTATGAAAGCTTAGGCTCTTCTTTGAAACTTATACAAATGTGGACCTGGTACTTGTGGAGTAAATATTTATGCACATATAAATAGGGAAGATTTCTTAACATGGGCTCCACATTGTTCATAGCATAATGAAGAATACCTTTTAGAAAAGAAATCAACAGAGACAAGAGGGAAGGAGGGGGGGGCGGGGAAAAGGAAGGGAAGGGGAAAGTCAAGGAACATATAGCAAGGACTCATGGACAAAACCAAAGGGGAAGAGCTGAGGGAGGGAAGGAGGGAGGGGACAAGGGAAAGTGGTGGAGGGGAGGCAGAGACAAGTGTATTTGAAAAAATAAATTAAAATAAAATTTAAAAAAGAGAATACCTTTTGATAATTCTGCCCCAAAAAGGTAACCTTGAATATTCACAGAAATATAATTTATTTTTAATTCATATCAGAATTTACTACCCCGTTGATACTCAAAATGACTACAATTATTTTATAATCACAAGTCAAATATATGCCCACATTAAATGACAATTCTAAGTGTAAATTCCTTCATTGCCCTCCTTTACTCCACTCAAAAGAGAGAGAGAGAGAGACAGGGAGAGAGAGAGAATGGATTAGATACCTCTTAAGAACAAAATACATTTGTTTTGGATAAATTGTAAATGCTTTATTCACATTATTTGGAAACTCATCATTTTAATGATGTCTCTTATGGCATAAGATGTATAAGAAAAAAAGATGTTTAATTTTAAGTTTTGCAAAATTTTAATAATGATGATAGTAAAAAAAAATGAGCATCCCTATGATACTGAAGTTTAAATTTAGATTAAAGACTTAACATTTTGGTAAAAAAATATTAAGGATGACTATTTTTAATATCATTTATACCCATTTTTTTTCCAGAGAGATGAATTTCAAGTACAAAAGTATTTTTGATTAACACACAGCTGTTTATTTTTTAAAATCTGTTGATTTGCTTCTTTTTTATTTGACAGATTACTGGTATGTTAAAGTTTGACCACTTGAATGGTTTGTCCAAATTATTAGAAGAAATTTTTACAGACTCGGTTCGACAGACTTTGCAGTAATTTGTGGTTTTACCCACTTAGAGATGAGGCAGTTAATCATGTCTCTTCAGTGTTAGTGAAGGGAAGACAGGATGCTGTACTCGACCTCAAAGACTAGAGTTGGTGTATTATTTGACTTGCTTCCTCTTTCCGGGTAGGGTAGCTTTCTTTCTTAGGCTAAACTTGACAGAGAATTCTGGGCAATTCACAAATGCAGGATGATATCAAGCACTCATATCTAATGCAATGGCAAACTTTGGTTTCCCAGAAAAAAATATCTTAACTCTGTAGCCATATGAAACCACAAAGTATGTGTGGGATTTTTTTTTTCCTTCCAGAATATATCGGAAAATACAGATCAATTTGGTCATATAAAATAGAGTTGACATGAATAAAGCCTTCCTTGTTTCTCACATTTGGATATTTGCAGGGAGGGTAAAAATACGAAGCTGAGTGTATGAAATGTTCATTAGCCCAAGATGTATACACTCAAGCTGTTTAGAATACACCCCGCATTGTCAACACCTGCCAAAAAACCAGTCTGGAAAATAATACAGCACCCTTGGCACCATGGAGAAGCTGACCACCTTGAATTAAGGGGAAAGGGCAGGAATTTTGAAGGTTCTGCCTTCTCTTTTCAGCATTTGCCTGTCTTTGGTAGCACACAATTTGGCAGTTCATTGGTGTAAATTATCATTATTATGGCAGGTATATAGTGTGACAATTGCACTAGGTTTTTATAGCTGTAACACTGTTTGGGTATATGAAGGGCGGTTACTCTGATTTTCAGGCCTGATTCTGTTTCATCTGTTTAGTTCCACCATTGAGCCCCTCTAAAAATATGGGTGAGATTCACAGATAGGAAACCAAAGTCAGGTGAATCAAGCAAGTATGAAATGTCATATAAAGAATAGTGCTGCGCAATTCATAGTATATGAAATTATCACATCATACACTTTAAATATCTTACCTTTTCAGTTATACTTCAATAAAGCTAGGGTAAGAGGTAAAGGGCCATTGTATTTGCAGTGTACTCTGAAATAATTTAGAAAAAAAAAAAGTGTCTCTGTATGTGTGGAAGAGGGAGTGCTTTACAGTATTCCTGCAGCTCATATAATTTTTCAATTATTTCAAAATAAAATTTTTTTAAAACCATGGTGCTACAGATGCTGCCCAAAGTTATTGAGTCAGGTTCTACTATTAGTGAGGGAATGACCTACATGTGAAATTACCAAGGGACAAGGACCTTTGCTACTTAGCCTGGCTGTCCCTACAGCCTCAAAAGCACCCAGTGGGCCAATGCGAGTACATCAGGGACCTAAGGTTCGGGGTGTGCCCT